TATTAATCCTTTTTGGTTTTTGTTTTAATTGAAACAGTCTCCCTGTGTTACATTTGTTACTCAGGCTGGTCTCAAACTCCTGGGCACAAGAAATCCTTTTTCCTCAGCCTCCTGAGTAGCTAAAAGTACAGGTGCACACCATCACACTCAGCTTCCTTAATCTTTCTGCTTACAAGTTATGTGAATTTTATGACCAAAAGGTACTTAATTACATATTTCTAAACTGAAGTCTTTTTAAATTCAAAAAGTTATGGTATAATTCAGGTAAAGGATGACAATTTAAACTCTGGTTTGAGGTTTCTTACTGTGTCATTCTTCCAGAAACTGTGTGCTTATTTGACGGGCAAAATGAGATGGTCCTATGATAACCTATAAACTTTTTTTTTCATGTTAGCCAAGAAAGCAAAATTCCAACTATACAGTAGGGGAAATTTAGCAGTCTAGGTCCAGTCCCAGAGAGAGTTTAATATATAGGGCAAGTTTAATATAAAGAATTATGAACTGTGAAAAAAAATAGCCGCAAGACATAAGAGCCAAAAGAGACTTCATAGGGTCCCTAGATCTGAGAAAGAGTCCCCGAGGAAGGACGATCAGAAAGGCTACCCTGTTGGAGCAGGCGGGTGGGCCCTCCGGGTTAGCCAGGGCAGCACTGGTCTACAGGCGTGGGGCATGTAGCAGGCCACACTCCAGAGTTTAGGAAGCCGGCAGTCAGCAGCTGGGGTGCAGGTGAGCTCAGGAGCAGGGGAGTCTGGCACCCAAGGAGGTAGACACAGGTCCCTCAGACCATGAGGGTTGCGTGGGGCTTCAGAGAGATCCAGACCACTCTCTGCAGTGCCATCAGCAGAGGTGATGTCGGTGTGCAGTGGGGCCTGGACCTGACTCTCTGATGGCCCTCTTGAGAGGCTCAGGCTGCAAGGACCTTGTCTGGGCCCTTGGCCTCAGTGGCTCCTGCCAGCTGCTTTCCCACCATGCCCAGGACCCATCCCCCTGGAAAGGGCAGGGGAATCTTTCTCTCCAACCCCTACATGGGAGAAACATAAAGGACTCTGCGTTCCTCACAGGGCACCAGTGTAGAAGGGGTGCTGGGAGCCAAGAGGCAGGCAGCGCATGGACTGGCAGAGCACTGACCTTCCGGCCTCTGCAGCTCTGCCCTTGCCACCATCTCACTCTTAGTCTAGGGCCAGCCTCCAGCATCAGGGCCGACCACAGAGAGACACGTTCTGTCCATTCTCGCCTTCAAGGCCCGGCAGCCTCTTAGGGCTTCCTCTCTCCACCCCTTCCACTCCGTCTCCTCTCCGCTCATCTCCCAGTCGAGCACACGATAGACTTGCACTTGCCAGTCCCGTGCAGCCCGAACTCCCACTGCACCTTCCAACTCCCACTGCACCTTCCAACCACAGGGAGGTGGTGATCTGTGAGATTTGGGACAACTCCTTCCAGTTGGCTCCCATGAGGGCCCTTGTCCCAGCCCAGGGAAGGGCTGAGACCAGAGGACTGGTTGCTCCCGCCACACACCAGCCACGCTTGCCCTGGCCATGTGGCAGCAGCATCCCCAGCCTGGGTCAGGCTGCTCTGCACGCACCCACCAGGGAGTGGAATATGATGAGGACCAGGTCATTTTGGACCAGATGGGTAGCTTCCCAGCTGGGAGCATTAGTATCAAGTGTAAAATAATAATCGCCAGAGCTGAGGCCACCCGCCCTCGGGCCACCATGCTCAGCATGGTCCACACGTAGTGCTAGTTAATCTTTTCCAGGGTGGCTGAGGCAGGAAGATTGCAAGTTTGAGCCCAGCCTGGGCCATGTAGTCGCTTAACGAGACCCTGTCTCAAAATTTAAAAATAGAAAATAAAACGCCGAGCACGTAGTTCACTGTGAAGGCCCTGGGTTCAATCTCCAGTACTGGAAAAAAAAGGTAAACACAAAACTCCAAAAGACAGGTAGAAGGCACAGGCGAAGATCCTATCCATGAACTGGAAAATAATTCAATCATGCTAAGAAAATCCTCCAGAACACAGCACAGTGAAAAGATAGAATGCGCGAAAGGCAAGTTAGGTGTCGGGAGCAATTCTACATAATCTGTGGGGAAAATCACTTGATTAGGCCTAGTTTTCCTGCCCACAGGCCAGCTATGGTATGTTGAGACACCGCTCCAGTTTACATTTGTAACCTTTTACATTTGTTACTCTCTGGATGTACTGAACTCTCTGCCCTGATCATCTGTTACACTTGTTTCTCCTGATGCGCAGAATAAAGGTGTGGCAAGCTCAGGGGGTTTTGTCTTTGCTGCCCAGAACAGCACTGATCGGGCCCAAAGCTTAGCTTCTTCTCTAAGACTTATTTCTTCTATCTTTCCTGTCTAATAAATTAATCCACCTTGTGCTGCCGTGGCTAGCAGAAGATGAGGACTTGCTACAGAGGTTCTAGTAATGTCCCCTCTCCCTGTCCCCTATAGTTAAGGAATATAGAGCGATGATTTGGATATTCATATTTCCATGTAGTAGGAATTCCAGAAAGAGACAATGAAGAGCAGATAATTTCTTAGAGCCTCAAAAAGTACCCTGCGGCACATCCTAAGTGGATGCGCATGGACACACAGAAAGCACAAACGAGATCAATAGGAGGGACGTCAGGGTCCTAGAGACAGAATGTGTGACCCTCAGGGCACCAGAAGGGTGAGGACAGGAAGGGACAGCTGTGTCAGTGCTGTGGCTCTCCAGAGCTTCAGCTTGGGAAATGATACCCAGTGTGAGGCATTAAGGAGATGGAAACTTAAATCTGACCCCAGCATTGTGACTGAAACCAGAGAAGATCATTGAGTGAAACCCCCAACGTGGAATCCTGGTGGCTTTATAAGGAGAGACCAGGAAGACACACATACACACATGTCCCTGTGTCTCACTGTGTGACCCTCTGCACCACACCCCCTCCCTAGGACTCTGCCAGCAAGATGGCCGTCACTGGTGGGGTAGCCTGAATCATGGGTACCTCCACAATCATGAACCAAAATAAACCTCTTTTCTTTATAAAGTAGCCCACTTCCATTATTGCCTGACACCAGTGAAAACCAGAATAATACAATTAGAAAGCAGGAAAGGGACAGGGGAAAAGAAGCACAGCAAACAGAAAACAAGTGATCTCAAGACTCAGACTGACTTTGAAACTCCTGCAAAGTCTGGAACCAAATGATGGTAATACAAATGGAGAGGGGAGGTGCAGCTTTTACAGGTTCTTAGAGGCCTGGAGTTATCCCCGAATAATCCCAGCAGTGTTTAGGGAGCCAGAGAAGAGAGGGAAGATGAAATGACAGAGGTCCTGAGATGCCAGTGGGTGGCAGGAAAAGCCAGAGGCGGCTTTGGGCACCAACCAAAGCCAGATGATGGACAGGCAAAGGGATGCCCGGGCCTGCTGCAGAAGCCCAGGCCAGGTCCAGGTGGGTACCATGTGGTGGGTGAGGAGTGTGCCCTACAGTGGATCAGCAGAGCCGGCTCCCTGGGGGTGCAGCCAGTGAGGCCCACCTCTGAGTCAGATGGTGAAGAGCCAGGGAGACTCACAAACCCCACAAATCAGCCAAAGCCCATCTCAAAATCAACCCACATGCCTCTCCCCAACCCCTGCCCAAATAGACAGAAGCCACTGTCCTCTGCTCTCAAGGAAGCCAGGCACAGCCTGATGCCACAGGGTGGAGCACCAGAGACAGTGTCAAGGCTTTAAGTGGTGAGCTCTCAACTCAGGGAGCACCAAGGCCTAAAAACTAAGACTCTAATAAACAAATCACTGATGGGGCAGGGAGAGCCTTTTATAGAGACTGGGGTGGGGTTTGTAGGGGCAGAGGCGGGGTTGAGTGAGGTAGTGACTAGGGAGTGGAGGAGCCGGTGATGTCACTAGGTGGTAGAGGTGAGCGAGTATTAGGTTACTTCCTGGGTGGGAACAGGGGCATGCTGGGAAGAAGGGTTTGTTCTTTGGTGGGAGCAGCCATCTTGGCGTGATGTCACACAGGGGAGGGGGCAAGGCACCATCGGAAGAGGGCAGCTACGATACCTAATAGCTGCTGAGGTGGTGGGAGACCTACCATTGACCAAACAAATACTTTAGTATATACAAGTATCTATAAATATTTCTAGATATAATCCATATCTATATGAGTTAGTCAGCTTTCTGTCACTACGGCAATTACCTGAGATAATCAACTTGCAGAGAAAAGCTTTATTTTGGCTCATGGTGTCGGAGGTCCCAGTCCATGGCCGGGTAGCCTGTTGTTTTGAGCAAGGAGGAACATCACAGTGGGAGCAGGTGGTAGGACACAACCACTCACCTCACTGCTCACCTTTTGCCAGGAGCAAAAGAAAGGACAAGGAAGAGACTGAGGGTCCATTATCCAGGTCAAGAGCACATCTCCCATGACCCGGAGACTTTCCACTAGGCCCCAGCCCAGGTGCTGTTGGGGCCCAGGTCTTCAGCACCAGGGCAGGACAGGGTGAGGAGAACAAGGCTGGAGAGGGGTTGGCCAAGACAGATCTTCTCTTCAGGTCTGAAATCCTCCCACACTGGAGAGGCTCGCAGTATGCGGAGGGTCCCCAAATGGGCCAGGAATTGTGGGACAGCAGAAGAGAGGGAAACAGGTGTGCACAGGTCATCAGCAGCTTTGTCTGTAAGAGGCAGAACCCAGTCTGCTATCAATGGACAGGTTCTCACTCCCCCGCCACTGGTAAATAGGTGCTCCCTCCAGTGTGGCCTGTTAACCCCTGGGAGCAGTGGGACTGTATTTCCACGAGGCATCGGCTGCACAAGTGACCACAGAATGTGGCCCGAGTTTAGAGAGCAGAGCACTATGCAAACCCAGCTGGGGCCTGGTCAGGACAGGTCATACCACCAGGTCATACCACCAGCCAGGTCATACCACCAGCATCAGGAGGCTGAGGAGGGAAGGCCGTGAGCTCAGAGGAGGGTCAGGGGACCAGAAGGTGAAGGAGAGTCAGAAGCAGGACATGGAGTCACCGACACAGGCTGGCGAGCCACATGGCCCTCTTTATTCTTGACAGCGCAAAATCCAGCTCAGCAGGCAGAGTTCCAATGCCACTACAGAAAGCATGGCAGCTGCATTTCAGTGCTCACCGAGAGAAGGCACCTCACACCTCAGTGAGGCTCTGAGCACCTGCACCAAGGGCCTTCTGGGTCCGTGAGGGCCTTGTGGTGACACTGCCCTCTTTGGCCCTGCATCCCTAGAGCCCCAGAGGGATGTACTGCCCCATCTTCTCCAAGAAACACAAGAGAAGGCCTTGTCCCGAAGCCAAGCTGCAGGTCTGCAAGACTTTCTGGGCCTGGAAGACTTCAGGGCAGGTGCTGGAGATGGAGAAGCAGAAGAGCCCACCACTTCCTGTTCAGCAGGCACTGGCTTTGAGCCCTGCATCTCCCCTCTGTCCTGTAGTCCCACCTGCTCAGGCCTGGGCCCTCGCCGCAGTCTGCCGCCGCTGCAGAGCCAGCTGGAGGGCAAGCCTCACGGTCTCTGCATTGTTCAGAATGGTGTAGCGGTTCAGGGCCACCAGGCGGTCAAACTCTTTGGGCTCATAGGTGAAGTTCATCATGCCATAGGGGGTGTCTGGCCCGTTGATGACAAAGTCCCCAAAGGCTTTCTCCGCAGCTGTTCGCCGCTCCACACCTGGTGGGGGGCAGGCTGCAGCACTCTGGAACTTCCAGCCAGCTGCAGCCCTAGGCCCCTCCCACATCTCAGCCCTCAGGCCCATCTGGAGGAGATGACCCACATGCACAACCAGGGCCAGGAAATAGGGGACAGCAAGTGGCATTCGGCTCAGGCCCCCCAGAAGGCACACTCTGACACTATCCAGGATAGCACCCCAGCACTACCAGCCTGCTTCTCTCACCTGGGGCCAGGTGTGTGCGGAAGGTGCGGTTGACAAGTGGGAAGTGCAGCACGATGGGGGCCTGAGGGTCCTCAGCCTCAGCAAATAGATAGCACTCACAGGGCTTAGCCACGTCCTCGGGGCCCACCTCGATCCTGGGGAAGGGGAGTCCTCGGTCCAGGCAGTACTGCTCTGTCATCTGTAAGACCTGGGCAGGGATGGGAGCTACTGGCCCTGCCTTCCTCCACCCTGGACTCTCACAGACCTGGCTTCACACTGGCTCTGCCTCTGCATAGGCAGGTGACTATGGCCACATGCCTCACTCATCAGACACAGACAGGGAGATCAGGGAGAACAGGAGATCAGCCATAACCAGGGCCCTAGAGCCCCTCCCACTGCTACTCCTCCTCATGACAGCCTTTCCTCTGACCCCACTCTGCTCCCTGTTGGGGGCCCCCTGCAATCTCATGAGGTTGACACAGTGGCTGCCAGGTCAGCGCTGGACAAGCCTTTATCAGCTTCCAATCCCGGGTACTCACTGGCCCAGGAGGACCAGGAGAATGGAGGAAGGGCTGGTCCAGCACCATGACCAGAATCTACACTGAGTGGCACGGTCAGTGCCTGACAGAGTTGGAAGGAGTCACTGCTGAAGTCTCCCTGAAGGGACCTGATGGCCCTGTTGTTACCATAGTGACAAAGGACAGCAGGACCAGATGGGATTGAGGAATCCTATCACAAATGGGCAGATCTGAAGAGTGGCTGGAAGACGTGAAAGGACTCTGTCCAGCCTCTTGTGCCTACGGCCCCCCATCCTCCCAGAAACTCTTCCACCTGGGAGACTTGGACAGACAACAGCAACCGGAAGGCACTGGCCACAGAGCAGAATCCAGGCCAGCCAGAAGGGTGACCCCAAACATTAGGCCTGGACCCTTGGCAGAGTTCCCCACTCCCCACCCCCTGTACCTCAAAAGGGGCTTCCAGGGAGTAGTCAAAGGACAGAATGAGGTCCACCGCCCGCTGGGGCAGCAGGGTTAGCGGGAAGGGAGAGTTGATGGCAAAGCCTCCGTCCACCAGGCACAGGCCGTCCCGCATGGGTGTGAGCTGGTTGGGGAGGGCGTCCGGGTGTGTGCCTGCAAGTCATGCAGATCATGTGGCGGCTTCCCAGCGTCTCCTCTCCCTGCGTTCTCCCTGCAGACCCCCAGCCTGGGCTCTCCCACTTCTGGCACAGGGATAGAGTCTCCCCATCAGCATCCACAGGTACCGCCGCAGGCACACCCACAGCAGTGCTGGCCCAGTGGCCAGGGGCAGGAGGCCAGCCCACAGCCGAGGCAGTCCCCACCTTTCCAAGCCACGAAGTCCCTGCAGGCTGCATAGTCCTTGTGCAGGCAGAGGCCCCGCATGAAGTTAAAGTTCTGGGTGGAAGCAAAGCGGGAGGTAAACATGTCCAGCACAGCCTGTGAGAAGGGCCCCTGCGGGGTGAAGAGCCTGGTGCGCAGCCATGAGGGGTCATGAGGCTGGGACTGTGGGCACTCATCTAGGTGGGGTGGGAGTGAAATACAGTGAGCAGGGAACGCCTCAGGGAAGCCCCCCACACACTGTGCTCCCCCTGCACCTCTCCTCCTCCTCCTCTAGACCTCAACCACGCCTCACAGAATCTCCTTTTTAAAAAAATATTAAAGATGTAGGAGCTGGGCTTGGTGGCACACACCTGTAATCCCAGCACTCAGGAGGCTAAGGCAGGAGGATCGAATATTCCAGGCCAGCTAGGCAACACAGTGAGTTCAAGGCTGGCCTGGACTACACAGCAAGACCTTGTCTCAGAAAGTCAAGAAAGGGGAAGAAAAGAGGGAAAATGAAAGAGAAAGAAAAGGGAAATGAAAACAAAAATGAAAGAAAAGAAACTAAGGCGCTTCCTCCTTCAAACAGGAGTGGCTCAAAAGACGGTATTTTGCTGGGTTCTGAGCTTCCCAATGTATTACAGTTTAATGAACTACAGTAGGATACTTAATTATATTAAGGAATCATTAAAATTCTTAGATTTGCCAATGGCGACGGGGGTTATGTTTTTCTATGCTCCCAGCACAGAATTCCTTTCAAAGCATCTGTCACATTTTGGAAGTGGCCCATGACACTATTTAATAAAGAACTGCTCTTCCCCACTTTGGTTGCCTATACAACTTGAGGGAGGCACAGGGGGATGGGCCTGAACTGGCGCTGAGCTCACAGCCTGCTTGGAAGGGGGAGGTGGCCATAGAAAGAGGTAAAGGATCATAACAACACGAAGTGGCCTGCAGTCCTCAGGGACCATGCTGTTAAGTCCCAATCAGCCTAAAGGGGGGAGTGGGAACGACAGATATCCGAACTATGTCTTAAGAGAGCAGTGAAAGTTACCAGGAAAGGAAGGTGAGAAGGGTGATCTGTGCAGCTGGGCTCTCACAGGCCTGTCAAGAACCAAGCTGAAGGGTGGCCCAAATAGGGTGAGAACATCCGGAGCCTTAACTGAATGATCTAACTGGAGCCACGATGGAGAACTTGGATGTGGGCCTCCACTGTGCCAGGCATTTGGAGACTCTAAGCTACAGAGAGTCTCCTCAGGACAGCTGAGTCCTTCACCAGCCCCTCTCCCATCCTTCCTCTCTCTGCCAGGACCCCAGTGTTGGCAAGTGAGCACGGTTTGGGGGTCTCTGCCCTTACCGGTGATGTTCACGCTGCCTCTGTGCCAGTCCAAGAAGCCCAGCCCCGAGCCAGCGGTCTTCAGGAAGATCTCGTCCAGGCTGGCTGCAAAGGCGCTGCCCCACATACCTGAGCAGACAGGCAGAGCCCCTAACGTCAGGGCCTGGCCACAACACTTCCTGTGCCAGCCTTCGGGCCTACATTCACCTTGCAGGTAGCAGATGCGAGGCTCAGGCCGGAGTTCCAGCAGTCGCCCCATGAAGAACTCGGAGCCCAAGAGCTTGGTGGGAACATAAGCTCCATACTTGGGGAAGCCGACCTCATACGGAGTAAATTCACACCACTCTGGGGGCCCAAATGAAGGCAAAATCACGAGAGGCTTCCCACCAGGGCCCTCCTGCTGGAACAGGAAACTTGTCACGCCAAGGACAGGAGGCAGCAACCCCTGTGCTCTAAGGCCCCCATCTGCAGCCACCTCCACCTGGACCTGAGGTCTGACCTCAACCACCTCCTGCCAACCATCCCTTCCATATCTTTCCTCGTCTCGGCCCCAGGCACCTGCAAAGTCTTCCCCACTCAGGTTGGTGCGGACGTTGATGCCGGCGTAGATAGGGTAAGGGTTTTGACCCTGGCTGACTGCCTCCTGCTGGTCAGACAGCTTGGCAGGATTTTCCTGGGCAGGAGAGAAGGGGGGCAGCTTGAACTCTGGGGAGTTGCCCTACCCTATCCCCATGGTCTTGGGTCAGGACCCTGGAGGATGTGGTGAGTCCATAAGAGACCCTGAGCTGTCAAGGCCACGGCTGCAGGGGCAGCTCTCTGAGGGATAAGCTGCAGCAGAGTAAGGCCACTTGGTTTTTACTGTTCCAGGGTCTCTGGGGACACCATCCCCCCATTTTCCCTCCAAGAAAGTGTATCAGAATTCACAGGAGTTAGGCAGACATAGTAAAAGAGTCCTTGAAAAACTGGTCTCATTTATCTAAGAAAGTGTTGCTTCTTTACTTAGAAATGAGAAGTCACTGGTGACCCACAACTGAGAGCCCTGCAGTTCTGAACCTTACTGCGGAAGACTGGCTGGGCCTGCATTTCTAGAAGTAGCACTGGTGGCATGGGTCAGGATGCCGCTGGCCAGTGAGACCGACCGACACCAGTTCTGGAAGGAGAGTTCAGGCACGGGTGTTTTGATGGAAGGGAGGGGAAAGGAAGAGGAAGGAAAGAGGATCAAGAGATGCAATATGTACATGTGCCCATTCCTCTCGAAGAAAGTTTTTATTATGTATCACAAACACATTCTAATATAAAAAGGGAAGAAAAACACGAAAAGCTGTGCAGGAGATCCTACTATGCAGAAAGCTGAGAACTGTGGCTGGCTCCTCTTCCCCAGGGTTCAGAGCCCAAAAGGTGAAGCAGTGTCAGCTCACCCTGGTGCCTCCCTTTCCCCCGGGGCAGCTCAGCCCTCCAGGACAGCTTTGCAAGTCTCCTATTTTAGCCGGAGGAATGAGGCAGAAATGGGAAACTGGGGCTGTGGAAAGGGTAGAGAGGGTATCACTGCTGCTCGTCTCTCACCTCCTGGTTCAGAAAATACTCGATGAGGAGCCCCCAGAGGTCAATGAGGGACGCCCCATGGCCGCTGCTCTCCCTCTCCTGGGCCCCCAGCTCCTGAGCATAGTATTGCAACTGCTCCATGGACATTGCCCCCATCTTACTGCTGCAGACCCGAGCCCGAGCACGTGCAATGGCGCCCTGCAAGGCCATGCAGGACCAAGCTGGGTCCTTGTAGAGTGTGGAGATGCACCTGGGAGGAGAGAAGGGAGCACAGCCGGGGAATGAGAGGCGCAGGGGGCTGAGGAACTCCTCCCTACCACACACACTTGCACCTGCTGCCCTGCACGCTGACCCCTGACCCCCACGGAAGCAGGCACCCAGACCCACCTCCAAGGTTCCATCAGATCTCCAGGTTACACGTATTGCCCTTCAGGACTTGCATTCCCTCTGCACCCTGCCCCACTTACCAGGTGGACCCAGAGACCCCGCTCAGGTAGGTCACAGCATCCAGGAGGCCAAGCTCCTGCAGCCCCACCAGGTTGCCGTACAGGGAAGACATGGCTCGAGTTCCACCCCCAGAGCCCAGCACAGACACCACAGGGACCTGGGCACAGCAATGATGACAGCCGCTTACACTTGCACACTATTGCCTATCCCTGCCAGATATTGTTATAAAAGCCTTATGCATATCTCTGATTGAATCCTCACAGCAACCTAAGACCCCTGTTTTACAGATAAGGAAACTGAGCCATGGGAAAGTTACTCAAGATTATAATGTTAGTAAGTGATGAGCTATCAAACATAAGCAGTATATTTCGATCCCCAGCACCAAAAAAACAAAACAAAACAAAACATAAGCAGTATAACTCCAGAGATGGCTCTCAACCATTGTTGCAAGACCATGTATTTGATTCACCAAAAACCCTTTGTTTTGGTGAATGGCTACTTTGGACTGGATCATTTGGGAGGTGCCATCCTGTGTGTGGCAGGACATTTAGCGACACTCTTGGCCTTTACTCAGTGGGTGCCTATAGCCTCCCTCTGCTTCCCCCACCCCAGCTGTTAGCATAAAACATACTCTAGACACTGACAAATATCCCCTCGGAAGTGGGGGACAAAACTGTCCCAGCTGAGAACCCCTGAGCTAAATGAAGAGCAGTTAGCAGCCCAGACATGAGAGGTGCTCAAAAGTTGGGGTCCTCCTGAGGGTCAAAGAAGCCTAACAGGACCAGATTTGAAGGCTTTTAGCTGATCAGCTTTCCCACGGAGGGCTGCCTCCTTGCACCCAGACTTTTGGGTCCTCTGCCCTCTCCTTTTCTTCTGTATTACAGAATGCTCCCTGGGAGCCCTGTTGTTTCAGGGAGCTGAACAAGACAGCAGATTCAGCACCGAGTGAGTGCGTGCTGACTGGATGAGCAATCCAGGCCTGCAGCTTGCAGGTGCTCTGAGGACACTGCTGCCAGGGTTAGCACCAGCTTGTTCCTGGCCCCACGCAGGCACCTCTCGGCATCTCCTCCTCCTGCCTCCTGGCCACAGACTGTGTTTTTGCCCAGGGATCCCACAGGCCAAAAATCCCATCTACTTCCAAATCCCTTTGGGCACGATTAGGGACTTTGTGTCCTCTCCAAACTCATCTGTTGAAGCCCCAAGCCCCAGTGTGACTGTTTTGGGGGGTAGAGCCTATAAGGAAGTAATGAACATCAAGTGCTGTAATAGGGTAGGGCCTTGATCTCATAAGACCAGTGTCCTTATCAGAAAAGAGACACCGGAGAACTTCCCTCTCCTCACACCGCAGACATGAGGAGAAGCCAGGTGAGGTGACAGTAAGCAGTGGCATCTACAGGCCAGGAGGAGAGGCCTCATCAGAAACCCACTCTGCCAGCACCATGACCTTGGGCTTCCGGCCTCCAGAATGGGGAGAAGATAAACGTCCGCTGCCGAGGCCACCTGGCCTGTGATGCTCTGTCATGGCGGCCCACGCCGACACCCGCCCCTTGCCCGGGCCAGGGCAGGGCCCTGACTCTCCTCGGCAGGCCTGTCTCAAACAGGTCTGCTCGCTTCCTCCTCTGCTCCCCATGCTTCCTCCAGGCTTCCTGTCACCTCTTGCCACACACTTCCCCTTGGGGGATGGGCTGGACTTGGTCCCAGCAACCTCCTTCCCATACCTGGTCACCGTGAGGAGCCTCACTCAACCCCAGCACCTGCTGCAGGGCCTGGGCCACCACTGCTTTCCTCTTGACCAGGAACTTCCGCTCACCATCACAGAGGTCAAAGCCCAGGCGCAAGTCCAGGTCCCCAGAGCTGCCTCGGAGGGACAGGGTGGGACACTAGGTGATGCTCAGTAGAGGGGGACCTCAGCCCAGCCCAGTTTTCACAGGTGCAGACCCCACTCTTTGGACCCCTGCAGAGAGACCCCAGGGAGAGGAGAGGACCTCCATGGCCTGAGCCCAGAGCACACTTCCCGCCCAGCCCCCAGAGGTCCCCCACCAGAAGCCCACCTCACCTCATTTCTGCCTTCACCCACAGAGCCACCTCCTGGCCCTAAAAGAGAGCAGCCCCACCCCTGAGCGTGCAGAGCTGGATCCTTCCAGGGAAACCACCTCCCGCGATGGCCCGTACTGCTTCCCCTCTGGCCCAATGGCTGAGGCCCCGGGGAATGATCCTGCCCGCCCCCACCTCTCTTGGTGGTCACATGTCAGACAGGGGTCCCTGGCACCTAAAGAGAGCCTTACCTCCCCCAGGCCCACGAGGCGCCGCTCCTCCCGGCCCAGGGGCAGAGAGGAAAGCAGGAAGCTGCCCTGGCCCAGCTTGCTGGTCTGAGGCTCCAACTCAGCCCTCGGGCCGCTCTGCAGAGAGGACCCCCAAGGAGCAACCCAGAATGAGCGAAAAGGTGCCTCGGGGCCCCTGGGCTGGAGAGCTCCACCGTCCCTCCCACCCTCGGCTGGGCCGCTCACCTGTAGAACCCTGAGCTTCTCTTTCAGCTCCACGTCCAGCCAGGAGCTCAGCACAGGGTTCACATGGAAGGTGAAGGTTGGCGAGAGGCCTGGCTCCTCAGGCCACTGCAGGGGCAAGAGCTGCGGCTTCTCGTAGGCCCCAGGCACTGCCAGTTCCACCTGCCTGGAGCCTGAGGGCAGAAGGCCCAGAGAGGGGCAAAGCAGAGGCTGTGTGGGCTGAGGACAGCAGTACCCAGGACAGCAACAGCCCCGGACAGGAACCTACAGCTCTTATCTCCCTGCTCACTCTGGGACTCAGAACAAAGCAAACACTGAGGAGGTTCTTGGGGTCAGAAATGGCGCCCCCAGAAGAGGGGGTGGGAAACACACAAATACCTAGGGAAGGAGGAAGGCAGGGAGAGGAGTAGAAACAGGCTGTTCCAGTAGCCTATGGGGCTGGTGATTTTGAAATTGTATCAATGCGTAATATAGAACTATGTGCAATTAATCATCTATTCATTACATTAATCACAGTTTCCAACTGGCAGTCTCCTCTGTCTCTTGTCCCCATTCAAGCTCTGCGCTCATTTCCTAAGGCGGTTTATGGCCAGGAAGAAAACAAGTGTTTCCTAAACAAGGAAGACCTCAGGGGAATGCAGGGAGCTGGCAGAGAAGGTCAAAGGCAGAACGGGATCCGTGGGTGCCTAGAGAATTCCACTGAGGACAAGCAGGGGAAGGTGGCCCATGCTAGAGGACAGTACACATCCTGGGGAGAAGCAAGGAACCAGGCCTGTGTGCTGGTGAGGAACAGAGGACACCCTGCCCTGCTTCCCAGCAGCTTTTGAGGCCAGGACAGGCCCCAGAGAGAAAAGGCTGCAAATGGGATCCAGGCAGAGGGGACCATGACAGCCTCCCAGCAGACTCTCAGGCTCCAAACAGCACAGGAGCAACAGTGACCTGAAGAGCCCAGAGCGGCAGCCTCCTCTGGGGAGATCTAGATGGAGCCCCGCTCCCTGCAGCCCCTCCTCGAACTGCCTGAGACCAGAGACTTGGCAGAAGCCTGGGACGGGGAGTGGGGAAAGGCGGGCAAGTGGGGACCCAGCGTCAGGAGGAAATCAGCAGACTGTGGAGGAGGGCAGGCCACACAGCGGACACTCCTGGGCTTGGGCTTGGCTCCCGCTTAGGTGCTTCCTGGAGCCTTGGTCGCGTGAAGTAAACGGTCAGTGACTGCACCAACCCAAGGGGCTCTGGGAGGGTTACAAGACCAAACAGACGGGAGTGCCGACACAGTGCTCCACAGCATCGGGGCAGTGCTCAGCCCACAGGCTCAAGCTCGGCCTAGGGAGGCGGCATGGCCATCACGTGGCTTCGGTCACCCCACATCCAGTCCCGCCTCCTGAGTGGTCACCCTCGGCGGCAGGCTGCACCAATAGCCCCACTTCCCTCACGTGGTATCCCACACTGTGCCATGTGACCTCGGCTCTCCCACTAAAGAAGCTGACTACACTCTGTGTCCCCCCAGTTGGAGTTCAACCACGTGACTTGCTGGGGCCACTAACATACGAGTGGCCAAGATGTGACCAAAGGCTTGAAAAGTGCTTGCTCAGTTGGGTTTGCTCTCTTTCGCCTCTGCTGAGGCCTTAAGAACAGGCCCAGGCTAGTCTGCCTGGTCATGTGGGTGGGACACACGGAGTGGATCCAGGCCACCCCTGCCAACCCTGTCTTAATCAGCCAAGCCCCAGCTGACTGCCAGACACGTGGGCTAAATAAGTGCTTCTTCCTGGATGCCACAGGGTTTGTGTGCGTTTGCTTTAGAGCCATAGCTGGACAGGTGCAGTCTTTATACTTGAATACTTCCGGGGACAGGAAGTATTCAGGAAATTCCCTACTTCTAGATGCAATCCATTCTATCTTTGGTCAGCTCTGAGAGTGACAGAATTGAGCACTTCCTCCCTAGTCCCTCTTCTTTGACATCACAGCTCCCAACGGCCCCTCGCATCCCCAACCCCAGGAGAGCACGCAAGATCAAGGGCTTGAGCAGCTCACCATATTCTCGCTGGGGGATGGTCCGGTCTCCCTCGAGGGTGCCATGGACTCTCAGACAGCGGTGAGCCTGAGAAAAGCAGAAGCATTGGGAGCCAGCCAGCCCACAGGGCCCTTGGCAGGGTCCGGACCAGGATGGAGGGAAGCGAGGAGGAGTAGAAACAGCCATTCCTGGGCCTGGGCCTTGGGGTCAGACCAAGGTTGTACCCTGTCCCCTCCCAGGCCCTGGGGAGAAGGGGGGTGTGGGACCCTACTAGTGGCATCTTTGGCAATCAAGGCAGCCTGGGCACAGAGGGAATCAAGTGCTCTGCACCAGGTCAGAAGCCTGGGGCCTGGGCTGCGCAGCCAGGGTCAAGGCAGCTTATGGCTCTGCATCTCCCTGAGCAGAGCTGTGTCCCTAAGAGGCAGGATGCACCACGGACTCTGTCAGGGACTCCTCCCTACCCCAGCCCCAGACCTTCCCCACTCACCACCAGGACTCCATTGGTGATGACCTCAGGTGCCTGCTCCTGGCTGCAAAGGAGGAAGTACTCATGGGCCATCAGGCTCCCTCGTCATGGTCACAATAATGTGACAAAGCCCTTGGAAGAGCCTGGGGGCATGGTGGGGTCGGGGTCAGGGTCTGTTGGTCAACATGCAAATGGTTGAGCAGACCTCGCCTCACTGTGCCTTCTGAGGCCAGGCCTCCAGGGCCAGCACAGGACCTGGTGACTGACAGATGGGAGCCTCCAGGATTCCAGAGCAAGTGGGAGGGCCCTGGGCTCCTGGACTCACCTCTCGTCCAGAACAAACTCCACCTGCAGTTCCTGGGAGCCCTACACAGGTGGAGCAGAGAATGCCAGTGTTTTAAAGGCTCCCAAAGCCCCAGGGATTTGTCCCTGCCCTGACCCTGCTCGACTCCAAGGACTAGAAGAGGAGATGCCGTGGCTTCACTTGGGCACATGGTACAGTGGCTCTTCTGTGCAGAGCTTTGTTCATTTAGAAACATGTGCCAGGCGCTGTTCTAGACACAGGACTGAGCAGGACTGGGGCAGACAAAACCCAGTGCCCTCCACCGGCCCACAGTTTGGTCTCACACAGGGCAGCGGTATTCAAGGGAAAGGGTCACACGGTCAGAAGTGCAGGACGGAAGAGGGGCAGCCGGGGAAGCCCATCCTGTGCTGATGGCCCCAGCCCTGTTGGTGGCCCTGGGCCGGTCTCCCAAGAGCTCGGCTGCTGTCAGCACAGGTGACTCACCTGCTGGGTCAGTGAGAAGGTGTGTCTGTGGGGCTGGCCAGGCTTGAGACTTCTCAGGTCAAACAGGAGCAGAGACAGCTGGTCGCTGCTCAGGACATCCTTGTCATACAGGGTGAGTTCTAGGACATTCTGGGAGCAGAGCAGTGGGAGATCAGCACTCTGGAGAGGCTCCCTGTCCCACCACAGCTGGGCCCCTCGGCGGCCCTCACCTTCACGGCACCATGGATCTGGTAGCAGAAGGTCTCGTTCCATTCAGGGTCACTGCAGTTAGCTACCATCCTTGTCTGGACGGGGCTGGGGGATGCCGTGGGCAGCGACAATTGCACATAGCAGTCGGCTTTGGACACTGTGGGGGTTGGGGGGGATCAGCCTCAAGCCTAAGTGCTAAAAAGGTTTCCCGGAGGAGGATGAGCCAGAGGAGAAGGGGCAGTCCAGTGAGGACATGTGTCCCTGCCACACGGGATGGGGGGAGTCTCTGCTCTCATCTTGACCATTTACACCTTCCATGCAACTGAGCAGAAATTCTGCAGTGACCAGCACCCCGTTGTTGCGTGGCAGCAGTGGTTCCCAGAAACTGCTTGAGGCAATAAAACCCTCTCCCCGACAAGAGCCCCAGCCTGGAAGCTCCTGGAAAGCAGGTGAGGCCATGTGACAGCTGGCCTTACACATGCACAGCGCCAGCCTCCCAGGCCCAGGCCTGCACTGCACAGCGGCCCCCTGCAGAGGTCAGCGCCAGCCCACGGCACACCCCCCCATGTGCCCTCAAGCCCTTAGGGAGAATGAGGGGAGAACGTGAAAAAAGGGTCACTCACGTAGGTCTGTGCCCTGGATGTTTCTGGCCCTCAGCACCTTCACCTGGAGGTCATAGTATGGGTGGGTTTCCCGCTGAAACAACAGAACACCAGGGACTCGGTTCCCGGAAGCTGGGGTGAGGGCCGGCCCCCTCCTCCAGGGTTCCCAGCTCTAATCTCCCTTTGGTCCATCACAGAGCAGCAGCTTAGCCCAAGGTCACTGATGTCAATGAGCCAGAAGGTCTGGGCCTGGGAGGCCTTTGCACAGCCCAGGCATTGGGGGCTCAGGATTGCTGATGAGCTTGGACCCGAGAATCTGTCACGCCTGGGCTCAAGTCTAAGCTCCATCATGAGCTATCCGAACAGATCATGGTTATCATAACCACAAACCTCAGCTGCCCTCAGACTAGAGTGGTCCTTCGGTAGCTTGAGAGCTGGGGTAATGTGTTTACAGACACTGAACATGAAGAGAAAGCGGTGGCCCACTGCCCCCAGTCGGCTGCCTGACCAAGGCTGGAAGGTGCACAGAAAGCAGTGGGCAGGGCAAGAGAAGTCGGGAGTCACCAGATTGTACTGGTCTGGTGAGTCACTGAGGAGAATGCAGTTTGGACTCAGGAGTGATAACAGCGGAACACAGCCTCCTGGAAGTGAGACTCTCCTCCCCACCTGTGCAAGCTCCTATTCCTTCTCTCACAGCGGGTTCTATACCCAGGCTAGAACACTCCTAGCAAAAACAGCCAATGGAAGGCAAATGTCACATGCCTTGTTCTCCATTTCTTACTTGGGGTGGGGGACATTCTTTTCAAGAGCCAAGCCACTGGCCGACATCTAACTTAAGCTCTGCCAGGTCGTCTGGAGCAAACAGGTTCCACTCCAAGTCAACATCCCGTGTCGGGGGGGGACTCCATCCTCACAGAGGACTGCAGCTCCCAGGACTCTCCAGTCCATGTCTCCCCTTAGCATCAGTCCCTTACCTGCCCGTGCCTCTGCTGAGGTGCCCTCTTCTCTCTCTTCGGCAGTGCCACTGCACCTAGAAGGGGCAGCCCTTTGCCTGCCAGCCACCTTGCCCAGAGATCCCCAAGCATGGCTGGCAGTGCAGTTCTTAGCAGAGCCTTCAGTTCTCCACGGCCACCAGCTCTCTAGCTACATTCACTGCAGCTCAGGTCTGACAGGTAGCACTAGGGTGGGGAAGGTGGAGCAGCCAGGACTCAGGGCTGGAGGTGGGGTTTGATATTCTCCAGGAAGTGGCTGGAGCCTGATTTTCTCAGACAGGAGGCAGCTCAAGCCCTCTTCAAGATGCCGGTAGTCTCTGGTTAGCACCCTGGCTCCCCTGCCCAGCCCCTGGTTACTGGGAAACAGACACCTGAGAGCTTTACCACCCCCACCACCACGGTCCCATTTAGTGAGTAGGGGGAGAGAGCCCAGGTAACCCTATTTCCAACCAGGAAGTGCTGTAGCAGGGACTGCCCTCCAGCTGCCCCCAAGGCCTAAAACTAACCTTTCAGTCTCCATCTCAGGGGCAGGGCTTCCTTTGGACTCCAAAATGTTTTCTGTCTCTCTTGGCCTCCCTCGTTTATCCCCCAAACACTGAGCGCCTGCTGCATGCCAGACCTGTACTACATCCTGAACAGCAAAGGCGGAGGGTCACCTCTGTTGTGTAGACCAAGTGGTGGCCAACCTATGGCACATGTGTTGCAGTGGGCTGTTTGTTATCATTGCAAACTCTAGAAGGTTCACCTTCACCAGACATTCACAGCCTCATGGTTCCTTGTGGGTCTGACGAGGCTCTCTGTGGGTCAGTGGAAACACCTTGGGGCTCAGGAAGAGGCAGGGACATGGTTAGGGGGTACAACAAGAGCAGTAAAAGGCAGACCTGCCTGTCCTCGAGCTGCTAGAGATACAGGCTTTCAAGTCCTCTGGGCAACTGTACACCCCATGCTGGATATATGTGATGACTCCTTCTCTGGACTGCAACCATCTAGGTGCCTGAGACAGGTCTTCTGGGGCAGTGAAATATTAGGGAAATACAAGTCTTCACCCAAGAACCAGTCCAGTCAGCTCCACTTTCTTCCTCAAGACCTAGCACTGGAGGCTGAAAGGACAACATCCAGAAAGATGATTCAACTCCAAAATGAACCAACTGGACGGGTTCAGACAGAACCTGAAGGGTAACTGCCAGGGGCCAGGACTCGAGGCAGAGCATTTCTGCTTAATTTGGTCCATGAAGCCACAACTAGGATGTGTGTGGCATCCAGTCTCACTGGTGGGGTCTGAGAACAACGTGGAGGTCACTCCTAGATTCACAACAGGAGGGCGGGTTAGCTGGTGCCAGAACAAGGTTGAGTCCAGGCTTCCGATGGACAGTAGCTCTTCCCGGGCTGTGCCTTGCTCTCCTGAAGTCATAAGCCCCATGCTTAAAGTCACGACTCATAGTCACAGATGGTCTTCATTCCCAGAGAAACCTCAACAGTCACAGACAGATCAAGAGGGGGACAGTAGAAAGAGGACACATCACCTTTTGGAACTGGCCAGAATGGGCTTGTATTTCCCCACTTCTCAAATGTCCCTGGGTCCCCCGCTCCTACCAACTCCATATCCTTGCATACTGTCATGGTTCCTATACAGATGTCCTCCCAAAGCCTCATGCACTCACAGGAAGGGCTGTTTGGAGATGACTGAACCGTGGAGGCAGGATATTCATCTGTGGATTAGCCCACTGATGAGTTTATAGCTATTTGCCATTTGGAAGCCTGGTCAGAGGAGGTGGTCACTGGGGCATGGCCTGGAAGGGTCCATCTCGCTCCTCCTTTGATCTCTCTCTCTCTGCTTCCTGCTACCCTGCCATGAGCTGTTTCTCCTCTGCCATGCCACCGCCTTGGAGCCAGTGGAGTATGGACTGAAACCTTTACAAACTATGAGCCAAAATAAACCTCTCCTCCTTTAAGTTGGGGGTGTCAGGTATTGTGTCCTGGAGAAGAGAAGGTACCCTTAGTTACACATGCCCTCTTAGCCATCATGGCCACAAGAAACACTAGGTCCTGCTGTGTGAAGTGGCAGGGAGACAACCTGGATTATCCAGAACTTTGTGACAATGGAAATGTTCCCTACTCGTGCTGCCAACTCATCAGCCCACAGCCTCGCCTGCCGCAGTGGTCAGCAGAGACTGACAGGACAGAGTATTATTGTGATTCCTTCCTTAGTCGTTAGCTCATTCTCTGTTCTGAGCTAGATTGCTATCCTTTCACTGTCATTTTCATCGGAGTCTATGGAAGGGGGAAAGAGACCCAAACAGACACAGCTTCCTCTCGGTCATGTTTATTTGAGAGTCGTGAGAGCTCCGTTAGCACTTGCTGTGGGAAGCCTGTCTCCAACTCCTCCAGGTCTCTGGGGAAGGAAGAGCACAGTCTGGGAAAACAGGGTGGAAAGAGAACATACTCTTCGTTGTGTCAAACACAGGTCACAAGATGGAAGCTACAGCACAGCAGGCCAGGAAGGCAGGGTTCTCGTGGCAGGGAAGCTCCAGCCCTGCCGCGGGGCCCCCAGGGGCTTCATGGAGCAAGTTCAGTCTGTTGGGGCCATGGCAGCGCTGTTCCTCAAGGGTGGCTGTGGTGCTGTTCCACAGGGTTTGTGGACCTGAGCAGGGCCCCACGGCTGTGAACGCTGCTCATGTGCTCCCTTGGTCTCTTCTGACCTTTCTAAGAGCTTGCCCTGAGCAGTCTCGTCCACTCACACCCAGTGGGTCAGCCCACAGCGCTTACCAAGGCCTCAGTATGTCAAGGCCAGGCTTACTGGGCAGTACCAGTGTTGGGCAAGGTCACTACCCTCACTGCCCTTAAAGGCATCGAGGCAGGAAGACTGCAAGTGCACACAAAGCTTGGGGAGGACAGAATGCAGGCTGCATGCCCTGTGTAGCCTGTTGTGCCAGGCCCTACCCGTACACCCCTAGCAGGCAGGGTCCCCATGAGCCCCATGCAGCTGGTGCTAAGTTCCTGTGTAGACCCACAGGCCCTGCCTGCCACCTGCCCTGGTCTCTGCTGTCCCTGGACACTTCACAAACATGCTCAGGATCACATCACTGTCAGTCCCCGACCTGGCCATTCCCAGTGTGCCCAGGATCCATCTTCCTGCGCCATCTCAGTGCCATTACTTGACCCTCACAGAACAAAGCCAAGAGTAAGGGCCAGGCCCTGCTGCAAGGCCAGAGGGCTGGAGCCACTGGAACTCAGCAAGGCATTCAAAGCCCAGAGAACTCCACTCCCACAGGCTAAGCGACCTGCTCAAGCAGCTGAGGGGTGAGGCAGGAGCAGATGCCTCCGAAGGACACATCTCAAGCCACATACCCTGTGCCGTGGCAGCCAGTTCCCCATGGGGAGGCACCAGGGTCCTCTCCTGGGCACACACTGGTGCTCCTCTAAGCTTCCAGGCAGACAGTGCACAGCCGAAGGGCCCTGACCACAATGTATCTGAGCATTGCAGTGTGTTCGCGGGGACCCAGACTCCCTCGTGCTTCTCACTTTGCCTCATTTAAATATGAGCTAGTCCTCGTATCCTTGGAGCAGAAGAGCCTGGGTGGTGTCGCGAGGAAAGACAAAGTGGGAAAGATAAACAGCGAGGAGCAAAAAGAGAATGACAACCGAAGAGATAAGCAGGGAGTCCTCGGGGTACACAGGGCACAGTTCCCGCGGAGAAAGCACGGGTAGGACACAGACTGCAAGGCTGGAGGGCCTCCGATTCCATCCTCCTGCGGGTCTCTCCAGGCAGTCATGCTGAAGCAACTCTCAGCAAACTCTAGTGAACAACTCAGCGCGAAGACATTCGGAGGAATCTCCTTTCCCAGGTAAGTGGTACTCGAAGGCAAGACGGTGGTCTCTGGTCCAAGCAGGTATGGATTCTCTGGAAGTGCCCGCAACACGATGGTATAAAGTACAACTAATCTTTTTCTAGTAAAAAGCCGGCAAGGTCAGACCACGAGTCTAATTAAGTCAAGAGATGCTCCAGGGTACAAGGAAGCCAGTAGTGTCAAATGGGGTGACACCTGTGGTGGCAGCCCCTGACTCTCAGGCTGGCTGCTCCGTCCCCTTTCTGATATAGCCACGCTGTCCACTGCCACATGCTCAGACGCTGGGCTCAGGTGTCAGCTGCGTTTACCTCTTTGGAACAGAAGTAGTGCACAACCACTCCATTGGGGTATCTTGCAAATGCACTGTGGGGAGGGAAAAGACTCAGGAGTGAGGGTGGGTTTGGCAGATTCCTCCCCCAGAGACTGTGAAGGCTTTGCACCTGGGAACCACCCAGAAGCAGGCCACCCTGAGCCCAAGGGACAGCTGCCCCAAGGGCTGTAGGCTCCCAGCCACCATCTCTGTGAGGAACTGAATAGAGGACAAGCTGCACAAAGTTCAAGTGTGGGGGGATACTCCCCCGCCCCTCCCCAGTACTAGGCGATTGAACCCAGGGGTTCCCTACCACTAAGCTATATTCCCAGGCTTTTTTTAAAAAATGTTTTTAATTTTTAAAATTATTTTTAAAATTTTGAGATAGGGTCTAACCACACAGCCCAGGTAGGACTTGAGCTTACTCTGAGTGTTGAGGGGGGATATTTCTTATTAAATATCCAGTGCAGACTGGGGTGGAGCCCAGTGGTAGAGTACCTGCCTAGCATGCATGAGGCTCACATTTCATCCCCAATACCACACACACACACAAAAGCAGCACAAAGCAAAGCGGGTAGTCCCTAGCTCAGTCCTGGCTCACTGGAGGCTAATAATGCTCAAGACCACAGCTTCAGACTAATTCTAACAAAGGACAGCAAGTAGGGTCTTTCAAAAGGAAAGTATTCTAGCCATTCAAAAAAGGACAAATTGCTCCTTTAAGGAGAGAGGGTTGACTATGGAACAGGCTTTAGCACAGTATGGCGCTGGCTCGGGAGCTCACTCCAGTTAGGAGACAGCAAGCAGACTGAAAGATTCCTTATGTTCCTTCAGAGACTCACCCTTAAAAAATAAGGACGTTTTGCCCACATGAGTCTCTCACACACAACAGCTACATCATTATTTCTAGCTGTCAAAAGGAAAGATCTCTTGGTGCAATAATTTTGGGGGGGGGGTACTGGGGATCGAACTTGGGTCCTTGCGCTTGCGCAGCAGGCAGCGAAACCACTAAGTTAAATCCCTGGACCTTGGTGAAAGAATTTAAGAGCCCCACAGCATACATGCCATGTGTTAAATTCTCAAGCCCACTATGGGCAGACAGCATGGCCCACCCTCTCGAGGCTCAAGAAGCAGAGGCAGCAGGACAGCTAGCAGCTGTGTCTTCCTCCTGGTTCCCCTAAGTGTGCCCATCATGCCCCGAAGCTGTGGCCCGGGCGGAGTGCCTCACCTGTTCCCAATCTTCTTCTTGCACACCATGCACACCTTCTCCTCTGTGATGATGCACTTCACTTGCTGGTGCAGAATCCGCTCTTCCTGTACCTGGAAGAGAGTTTGGGGAGAAGTTCCATGCCTATGTATACAACGGAAGGCAGAGGTCAGGGTCACTTCCTCCCTCAGGGTGTTCTCCTCGCCGGAACACGTTCAGTTAAATGTCAAGTTGGCTGCTGAACCAGCCTGCGCTACACTGCCTACATACGTAAAGCTCTGCATTGCTGGGGACGGACCATGTGGAAACTGTCACACTAGGAAACAAATCTGCCCTCGAGTCTGGAAGGCCCATACCCTCAGGAACTCAGCATGGAGGAGGTTCTTGAGCACTTGATTGAAGCGTTTTTTTTGTGCATTTTCTTCTAACACCTTTTCCAGAAAGATGCGGATGTCATTAACCTGAGTGTTTGCTGGCAGAAGGTTGATAGCCTGGGGAGAGGAGCAGAAGTGGGAATGGGGTGAGGCAGAACAGCAGTGAGACTCAGAAGACTCAGAGCCCAAGAGCTCTCAGGCCCCGGTCCCCCTCCCAACTCCCCTTCCTTCTCACCCAGGGTCCCACAGCCCTGAGGACCGCTGTCTGACCTTGGTGGTGTCCAGCTTGCTATGGTGCAGCTCAAGGACCTGCAGGGCGGCCTGGAGGTTGGCTTGTGGTTCCAGCAACTCCAACTTCATTGGCCCGAGACAGTGAATACTGGGGGGTGACAGGTACATCCGAAGCAGGGACAGATACACCTGTCTCATACAGATATAAGTCACGTGTATCAGGGGACGGTGACCCTGCCAGGCTGAACACGCCTGAAGGTTAGGGGAGTTGGTCTACAGCAACAGTGCATGGGAAATGTTCAAAACTCATCATTTCCACCTTCTAAAATTTTAATAATTCAAACAGCCAAGTGAGGGTGTCAAAGACTTTTCCCCTGAGGAAATGCCTCATATTTCTCTAACTTTACACTATTTGTAAAATGCTAACATTGCAAAATAACTGAAAAAGATTGCTCATTCTCTTTGGCTTTAAAAGCTGAGACCCTGGTAACCTTTTTTTTTTCCCATTAACTTTATTGGTACATTTTAGGTATAAAATACAGTTACATTCATCACTGGGATCTTGTACCATTACCTGAGTCTCTTGGTTCTTATTTTTTTCCCCTTCCCTTGCCCTTCCTCCACCCCCTCCACCCTTCCCTATTTGCAAAGACCTTGTTTCCATTTTTTCCTTTTTGCATATTTTTTCTTTTCTGTTTTTTCCTTTCCCCTGCCCCCCCACTTCCCCTGCTCCTTTAGACCTTTCTTCCTATTACACAATATCAATTATACAGTTTTTAAATTACAATATCAATATCTAGGAGACATTACCCAGATTTTACAGAATTTAAAAGGATACAGAAAGCATATTACAAAATCTTTTTTGAAATAAATTTGACAACTTCTAAGAAGT